GGCAAGACTCCAGGAGCTGCAGTGCAGCAGCTCTCCTCCCACGCAGCCCCGACTGCTGCCGGACAGGCAACGATGCAGGCAGGGCAGGGCAGGCAGGAGGAGAGTGGGAGATGCCGCAGGAGCACAGAGTGACCCCCTGCCACAGGCACCCTGCTTAGCAGAGACAGACGAGGGCTGCTGCAGATGCAAAGAGGACGAGTTGCCTTTGCCCATGTTTTTGCCCCACCTTGGTGCGGGGAAGGGGTGCAAGGGGCTAGGGCACCCCAGAGCTGAGTCCAGACCTCAGCAGCAGGCATAAGCCCAGAGGGGCAGGGCCGGATCATGGCTCTCTCCCAAAATTGCCATCCTCACACATGCTTTTGCCTTCACCCGCAGCAGCACCTGGGAGCAGACAGACACCTCAGCCCCTGTCCCCTTACCTCTGAGCCAAAACATCCTTAGGGTCTCTGCAGCACCCCCACAATTCATTAGGCACTGAAAACATTTATTGATTAATTAGGCAGAGGCAATCTGTCCACTTGGGCTGTGCCTCTAGCAGGATTAGGCAGGCTGCCAGGCGGCTACAAATGAGGGCTGCTAATTACCAGTAATTCCCCTGGCCTGGCCCTGCAGGCATCCCCGCAGCACCAGGGTGCAATAAATGTGCCTATCTCCTTCCCTGATATAACAGCCACAGGCCAGTGGATGAGCCCCAGATTTAAGGATTTGGTCCAAAGCCAGGGGCTAAGGCTGGATGGGGCCAGGTGTTGTGCCCCTTCTGCTGTTCTTCCTTACCTGCACCTTTATTCATCTGCCTTAGCTCCATCCCAGCCCTCTTTAGCACTGAAAGGGCATTGCAGAGGTGTTTATTCTGGCCTGAGGCTGCTTCTTCTAGCCTAACAAGAGCTTGGTTTATTCCTGGACATCTCTCTGGTAAGGTTATTTTCAGGGGGCAGTCAATGCTTTGGTGCCTCTCCTCACACCCAGCACTGCATCAAGCTCTGCCTGAAAAACCTGTCTTTTAGCATGGATGTGCTGCCAGGTTTGGTGTCCTGGAGCAGGGTCCGTGGTGCAGGAGAGAGGACAGAGGCAGGACCTGCCCAGCAGTGCACAGGGAGAGCAGCCAGGCTGGGAGAGCAACTGTTTTTTGATTCCTGAGGATTTCTTACATCCCTAAAATAGAACAAATTGACATGACACTCCCGAAAGAGCTCCCAGTGCAGCCAAGGACAAACATTGCTGCTCTCCCTGAGCACTGACAGAGCAGGTGGGGTCACTGCACTGCATCTTCCTTCAAGGGGGCCAAGGGCCCTTTTCCAGGGACCTCCTGGGTATGAAGGATGCACCCTCCTGCTGCTCTTGGCTTGGGAGAGAGGCAGCAGAGCCATTTTGCAATGATTTGTATATCCACGTGGGCTATAAATTATCATCTCCTGTTCCCAGTTTTGTGGCACCAGTTGCCCTCCATCACATAGCCTGGTAGATGGGTTCTGAACTCTTGGGGTATTGCAGAGTTGAGAAAGAACACCCCAGGTCTAATGCAAATGTTCCTGCCTTGGTGGATCTTTTGAGCCCTTTAGGTGCCCACCTGAGGGTTTCTGCTTACCCTGCCTGCTCTGTCACTTCTCTCTCCAGGGCAGAAGTGTGAACTTTGGCTCTGTGGATGCGTCTTTACTTTGGCCGATGTCTTACTAGGAGCCACCCTGCACCGCCTCAAGTTTCTGGGACTCTCTAAGAAATACTGGGAAGATGGCAGCAGACCTAACCTACAGTCCTTCTTCGACAGGATACAAAAACGCTTCGCCTTCAGGAAAGTTTTGGGAGATATACATACCACACTCCTCTCCGCAGTGGTACCCAATGCCTTCAGGCTGGTCAAGCGGAAACCTCCATCCTTCTTCGGAGCCTCCTTCCTGATGGGATCTCTGGGGGGAATGGGATATTTTGCTTATTGGTACTTAAAGAAAAAATACATCTAGTGCTGGCTGCTTGGTGTTTAGTTTGGTGTCTCTGTGCTGTGTGAAATTATGATGAAGCCTCAGTAACTGTAATGAAATTTGAAGCAAGGTAATGAATAATTATATTGTTTAATGTAACATTCCATAGTCTAGAAGTAGAAACGTATACTGCAAGGAAATAAGACAACAACAACAAAAAAAATTGCGTCAACTTGTAAATGCCTTTTTTAGGTTTAAGTATTCACCTCCAGCTCAGGGGTTCACGGGCTCAGCCGTGCTCACCGGGAAGTGACGCCGCCTCCGGCACCGGCCGGCTCCAGTGGGAAAGACGGGAACCCCGGGAAGTTTCCCGACGCCCAAGTTAACTGACGGGACCTGGTCCTGTCAGTTTGTGTTCACTGGCCACATTTCACACATGCAGATAGTGGGGACTTTCTTCTTCTATAGAAGGCGTTGTGTTGTCATGCTCAGAGGCTTTCCCTGGAGCAGGGTGCAGTAGCTGGTCACAGTCAAGGTGGATTTGCATTCTTCAAGTATCCATTTTTTAAATTATTTTCATTAAAAGGAATATTTTTTATTGAGCTGCTCTTAGAATGTATCCACTTTCTATGTCTGGTTTTGATGGGCTTTTTTTTAAAGAATTTAATGTCTGTCTGTAACTGCCACACTTTTTTCCTGAGATAAATAATTTTGACTTCCATCCTGATTTTTGGCACACAGAGATTATTGTTTTAAGCCTTTTGGCTTTGTCTCTTTAGTTTTCTTTCACGGATTTGCAAAGCATCTTTCACCGACTGAGCATATCTGGACTCTGAAAAAGTACGACCATTTTCAGAACTTTTCAGCACTTTCCTGAAGGCCCTTTGGCTTTCTCCTCCATCGGGGGCACTTTTCTGCCATTTCCTCGCTGTGTGTTTTCTTAGAAACACTTAGCACAGAATCACATTGATGACTTTCCTGTGCCTTTTGCATGTTGGAAAGAAGAAGGGGCCTCACTGCTTCTCATGCTTTGAAAACTGAGATCCTCAATAAACCATATGGGAGGAATAATGGCTTCACATTTCTAAATGTGTTCAACATCCCTCTGGCCTTATTTCAAAGCCTGCCAATGGGCAGAGGGATGTACAGGTGGGTTTGTGCTTTTTCTCATGTACTGTACTAGTATAAAAATTGCATGGAAACGATGTATCTTTCTTCCAAGGCACTCATTTCTGTAAGCGCTCAGCCTGCTAGGATCTCCTCTGGCTCCAGTGATTCCTAGCAAATCACGTTGCATCTCTAGGCTTAGGAACGTATGCCAAGTGTGGCTCAAGCAATACAAATTACATTTGCCTCTGACTCAAAAATTAGCTTTATGTATTTTAAAGCAGCAGGATTTCCCAGGAGCTTTGGTTCTTGATACAACTTGGCAGCCACAGACTTGTGAATATTTGGCAGGAATTACAAGGGATAAGCACACTGAGATTAGACAATGCAAAATGCACAGATTTATGCTAGGCTTATCCCAATTATGTAAACTGGTCTGACAAACTTCTGGGATGCAATGCCCTGTGCAGCTGCAAAGGTGCTGTGCTGTCCATGTTACCTCTAGGGATCAGGGCCACATTTAATATTGGTGTGTGAGAACCCAAGTCCACCACCTGAGACTTCTGAATGAAACAGTACAGACACACATTCCCCCAAATACAGTTAAATATTTGCTTCACAGTATTGATGACTTTGGGAAGAAATAGTTATTTTGCTTCTTTTTGAAGAGGGAGGCAAGAGAGTCCCCTGAGGTGATCCCTTTTACTGAATCTGAAGGATGTAAGAACATCCACAATGACCCATGGTTCACGTGGTCCATTAGCAGGTACCAAAATAAGCTATAAAGATACAGTAACACAAAACCTTTACCAGGATTTCATCCTTTTAATTTTCTCCAACACACGCACGTCCCTGGTGATCCCCAAATGCTGATGATCCCTTTATTTTCTGTAGAAAGGAACACTGATGGGGATACAAGGCCAGGAAACGCAGAAAGAGAGGAAATACTCGCTCAGTTCCAGGATTTCAGCCCAAGAATGAGACAGGATGCCGCTTAGCCAGACTGCTGCTGCTTAGTTAGCTCCTTTTTAAGAAAATTTTAAATCAAAGAATAAATGTTAAATCATAGAACAAATCAGACCTCTAAACACTGGAGAAAATAGGCATTTGTTTTGTTTGGGAGCACACTGTTAAAATGCAGCTATTACATGGAAGGCAGGCAGAGCCAGCAGCTGGAAGGAGGTGCAGGTCGGTTCAGACCAACACATGAGAGCTGTCACGACGTCTCTTTGTGGGCTGCCAGGAGGCCAGAGGTGCTGTAATGATGACTTCTGTGCAGGTTCTCAGCTAGGACTATTCACTCCAGGTCTTTGTTTTGAACTGAATTTTAAAAAAAAATAAAAAAAACGAGTGAAGACAGTGCCACTCCCTGTCGCTGAGCCTTGTTTCCCTGCCATGGTAATGAAAAAATATCAGTACTTTGCTCCAGGGAAAAGCAATCTGTGAGAGCGATAAAATATAATTACTGTGACCGGCAGAAGATGGATTGATGTTCAAGACCAAGCTGAAATGAACTGGGAGATGAATGTCACCACTCTGATCGATCCAGATTAGCGAGTCACTATGAGCAGCCCTGTGGTGATTTCAGACTGTCATCATAAAAAGTTGCTTTTGCTCTAGCTGATCTGAGCCTAATCAGACTTTTTCTGCTCTAGTTTCATTTAAAAGGGGAGATTACTACACTACACAGCCATAATCTGGACACTGGCCTGATGCTCGCTGGCCAAGGTACCTTCTGTACACAGAAATATGAAAATTATAGCAAAAATCTGTTTTCTTTCACTCCAGGACTTGATGCTTTGCTCTCAACAAGGTGTGGGGTAACAGCAGCGCCCAAGGGGTAAGGCTGGAAGGTGAGGCACCTCAGAGATGCTATTTGGAGCAAGTGTCTGCTCTGGGACACCACATGATTTGCTGCTGAGCAATTTGGTAGCAAAGTGCTATCACTGAAGCACTGGTTTGGCTGCACCAGACAACAGAGGGAATGGCTTGTGCTGCAGCTTGCACCAAATACTTCTGTGCATCTGATCCAGCCTCATCTGGGGGTCCCTCTTAGGCTTTATCCTATATGTACTTACTTATCCAAGAAAATTTTCATCCTTCAAAGTCTCTGTGTTTGAGGCAAATGTGCTTTTAGGCACCTCAGGGCCTTAAAATCTGTACCTCTGCTGAAAGTCTGAGCCCTTCTGACCACCTCCAAGATGGAGCTTCATGACACTGAGAGAGCTCACAAGCAGCGGTCAGTCCTTCCCCTCCAATCCTCCTGTTAACAGGTCCCCAGTGGTCAGATTCGTACAACCACAGCTTCAGAAGTCCTTTTACTCCTACGGGTTTTGCTCGAAAGACTCAATTATGAAAACTGAAAATGTACGTGTCAGTCTTGCAGCTGGCTGGCAGCCCTGTCCTTTGCTGGTCAAGGGATGGAGAAGACCTCTCCATGCAGAATAGAGGATTGCAAAACCAAGCTTGCCAGAGGAGAGGGAACACACCACAGAGCCTGTCCATCACAGGTTGCCAAATCATGATCAAGGGCTGCCTAAGAATACCCAGTGATGTCTTGTGGCACTCTTGGAAATTAATTGCCGAGTCTTGCTCTGGTTCTGAAGAAAAAAAATATCTTTACCAAGCACGGAAAGGAGGATGTGTAAGAGCCGCTCCTTCAAGCACAGGGAAACTCTTTCTGCTGTGAAAATAGATGAAGGACTTCCCCACTGGAGAACAGCAAATACAAACATTAAAGCCTGTGAAAATATTTAACACCAGGTTGAGTTTTGTGGCATTCACTGCCACCATTGAGATCTAAGCACCATCAAAGCCAAGCACCCAGACCAGGTCCACAATGCAGGCAATAACAGCCACTAAAACTCTCAGGTTCCCGAGACATACACGAGATTAAAATAATACAGGATAATATGAAAATAGTATTCTGAAAGGGCCAGGGATAAGACAAAATATGAGAATAGGAGATTAAAAACTAAATAACCAAAGAACCAGGAAACAATGTACAACATAAGAGCTAACTACTGTAACTCCACACCTGCAGTTATCTGGCACAGCAGAGGATAAGAGGGCAATTTCACATCTGCTCACACCATCAGCAAAGCTGCTCTTACTACACAAATCTGTAGAAAAGCTTATTCTGCCTCACCAAGGCAGGTCCCCAGCCCACATTCGGCAGGCTGTGCCCAAAGTTCGAACCCACGGGTATGAATGGGAATGAAAATATCTGCATAAGTACGTTATGAACAGGGACAGATTTTCACCCCTAAAGGATTTCCTAGTGCGTGGCCTCAGTGATACATCAGAGAGGTTTCAGACCAAGCCATTTTAAATTTAAGGTTTTAAACAGTAGCAAAAACACACTGGAATTTGTATTCTCAGATAAAGTGCATTCACGACAAACAAATTTCCTATTCTTTCCCCTCATGCTGATTTCCAAATGTGCCCAAGTGACATATTTACTACCACTGCCTTTCACTCTCCATTTTACATGCTTTCCTCTGAAGCATTAAACAGAGAGAAAAGAATCTGCTTTAAATGCCTCCCAGTGAAAGGAAGAATACCATGTATGCCATAAATAATTTTGATGAAGAATTGCTTTGTCAGAACACAGATGTCTGCCACTGCAGCCTCTGCTTGTCTTCACTGCAGCTGCAGTAACCTGTGCGCTGCGGGCCAGGCCCTACCTGCCGACAGCAGCTGCCATTGCCAAAGCAGATTATTTCTGTTTCCACACAACTTTGATGCTGAAGAGCATGGACAAGCAGTGTCAACCTCCACCCACTCCATGAGAGCTCACAATAGGCCTTTTATTTTTCCTTTCCTGTCTCTCATCTGCACAATGATCTGCCTTCAGCTCTTTTTTTCTTTACCTCTCTCTCCATCCTACTGCTTCCCTCTTTCCTGGACATCCCTGATTTCATTTGTGCCGCAGACAGCCGGGGATGCCCGAACATTTCCAGAGACGTTTCATTTGTCAGGAGCCCATGGGTTGTGAAACTGCATCAGTGGACACAGCACCTCCCATTTCTACCTTCTGAAAAAGAAAGGCCAAGAAATGAAGAAGACACAGTCTTGCTAAAAAGCCCTTAACCAACAGCACAGACCAATGCCTTT